GAAGCAATGCGGTATCTGAGTATGATGCCATGAGTATGAGATCAGTGGTAGAGTCAAGACACTGCGAGGCGTTGTGATGGTATTTCGGGGGTATCCGAGTTTAATGTCCTAAATCTCAGATTATTTTGAGTTTGAGTTTGAGATGACGAGTGGTGTATCAAGTGTTTATGGTTCCAGTGGGGACCCTTCAACTAATTGACATCAAATGGACTTATTTGAGAATGTGAATTGCAACGAGAAAAAGAGGTCTTGTCACGACGGTGGTCGTCCGAAGCAGTGATGCTTAGCCTGGATGGGTGTGTATGTACCTATCTATGCTGGGCCACAGAGCATGAGTTAATGATCGCAGTGTGGTGTCAACCTGAGGATGAGATTGTGAAGTGGTAAGAGTAAGTGCGGTAAGACTGCGGGGAGCTGCAGTTTCAATGGGTCAGTGCAGAGAGGTTGTGGTGATGCTACGGGGAGCCGTAGTACTCACTATTCAGTGAGAGGTTGTGGTGATGCTACGGGGAGCCGTAGTACTCACTATCCAGTGAGAGGTTGTGGTGATGCTACGGGGAGCCGTAGTACTCGCTATCCAGTGAGAGGTTGTGGTGATGCTACGGGGAGCCGTAGTACTCGCTATCCAGTGAGAGGTTGTGGTGATGCTATGGGGAGCCGTAGTACTCGCTATTCAGTGAGGGGTGTGGTGATGCTACGGGGAGCCGTAGTACTCACTATTCAGTGAGGGGCGTGGTGATGCTACGGGGAGCCGTAGTACTCACTATTCAGATAAAGGTCGTTGTGATACTGCGGGGAGCCGTAGTACCCATTAGTCAGTGAGAGAATGTTGTGATGAAGTGCTCTCTGATCAGAGCTTGACGCAGAAGAGTTATAGGCTTGAGTAGCCCTAATATTTGAGTTGTGAAAGCCTGGGGTCAAACCAGGGGCGAGACTGGGGTCTCCATATTTGTCGGGGGTCGTTATATTCTGAATTGAGTAGTGGTTGTCGCAACCAAAGGGAAGTGGATAAGTGAGGAACGCATGGGTTGCGGGTCATGAGTCATGAGTTGAGTGGTTCATTGGGACGAGTGGTTCCAACTTTGTGCCGGACCAGACTCTCGAGTTGAGTTCGATTCTAGTGGTGTATTGAGTAGGCAAAACGAGATTCCGGATTCAGAAATGAATTTCCTTTGGAAGGGGGTATTGGTTCCATCTGGTGCCTTAGACCTGAGTGGGTCAATTCGTTGGTATGAGAAAACCGCGAAACGCATGGAACTAATGAGTAGTAGACGGCAGAGATCGAGAGTGAGTCGAATTCCGTATTCGCTTGAGGTAAAGCAAACTTTGCGACTTGTGTGTCGCACTGGGCCGAGATAGTTGTATTGATAAGGAAGTCAGTGAGACGTTTTGGTAAATGCAATGGGTAACCTTTGGAGGTTCAGTTGTTGGGTCGGGAAATGACCTGGTGCTCAGTCTTGAAAGAGATATTGAGAAGGGAGCTGAGGTTTATGTTTGTCAGATGTCGAAGGACGTTTCTGAACAAGCATGGTCATTATTCGTGTCTGAGGACAGGGTGTCGAGGGTTCGTTGTTCAGAAGGGTTGTGATTGCAGTACAGTGGATGAGTCCCTGGTGTGAAGTGATCCTCCCATTCCTTGGTATATGATCTAGATTGTTTATCATGTCTGGGACGAGTGATCGGTAGCCAGTTTTGGGCATAGACTTGTTTTATCGGTCCCCACTGGAGAATCAGAGGGGCAACGTGGTGACATCTGGAGAAGGCGGTCTGGCAGAGATACAGATCACTAGAGTTTCCAGATTCTGGAGAGTCAGAAGGGTTATCGTAGCAGCAGCAGGGTCTGTCCTTTTCTGGGTAGGAGCTCCTGTTCGGATTTAGGTGTCCGGGGAGGGAGATAGTTGTGTGGTATGAGATCCTCTCGGTGGTGTTTTTCAGTTATTGGATTCGATCTATGTGGTTTGAGGAGCGATTTCGACGACGAAATCTAATTCAAGTGGGGGAGAATTGTAACATCCGGGAATTTGGATATATCTATTTAACCCTTCTTCTTCTTCAAGTTGTCAAGATTAGCCCTTAAATGAAAGTTATGGCAAATGAGTACGCTGGGCGTACTAAAGAGTACGCTGCGTGTACTCATGCGCTTAAGTTGGACGCGGAATACTCACGGTACGTTGGGCGTACCTTGAACTACGCTGGGCGTAGTGGGCCCAGACTCAAACCCTAAATGAGACTTGTGCACTATATAAGGAATGCTATGGCCTTATCCTCAGCCACCATTTCACAGAGAGAAACCCTAAGAGAGCATTATCTTTGTTCTAAAGCTTTGTGTGTGAGTGTTTTGAGCTAGAAGGTGCCTTTATGTGTTAGTGAAGAAGAAGGGGAGGTGCTTGTGGAGGCTAGGGTTTGGAGTTCAAGCTTGGATCTGAGTTCTTCAGAGGAAGGACCTTCACTTGGAGGTAAAAAGCTCAGAACTTTCTTCTTTATTTTGGTTTTGTGTTTCATGGTCCATTTTCTAGGGTTTTGTCCATTTTCTAGTGGATAATGAATCTTTATCCACTTTTAGTCTTCACCACCATTTGCATATTAAGGCAATATTTAGATCTTCAATTGATCCAACACCAAGCCCACCATTTTCTTTTGTAGTGGTAATTTTTTTCTCCATGAGACCCAATTAATCTTCCTGTTGTCTTCCGATCCTCCCCATAGGAATCGTCTTCGAAGTGTTTCCAATTTTGAGATAACACCTACATGGGCCACAAACAAAGAAAGATAGTAAGTAGGCAGGTTGCCTAACACCGAATTAATCAGTGTAAGACGCCCTCCAAAAGATAAGTTTTTGGCTTTCCAGACCGAGAGTTTGGCTTGAAACTTCTCTATTATTGGTTTCCAATTGCATTTACGGTTCATGTTCGCACCAACTGGGACTCCCAGATGATTAAAAAGTAAGGAAGAAGGTTCACAACGAGAATGTGTGCCCATCTAGCCGTATCCTGCGGTGTAGCTCCAATGCCAAAGACTTTAGATTTGTGGAAATTAACCTTAAGCCCTGAGGCAACATGAAAACATCGAAGAATTCGGGCCAAGTTTCTGATATTCCTTTTAGATCACTCCCCGATAAAGAGTGCATCATCCGCATAAAAGAGATGTGACACCAACGGACCATTGTTAGGGAGTTGGATTCCTTCGAATATGCCTTTCTGTTTTGCTGTTTTCATTACCATATTCATCCCTTCCATAGCTATAATAAACAAGAAAGGTGACAAAGGGTCACCTTGTCTAACCCCTTTAGTTATATCAAACTCTTCTGTTGGTGTCCCATTTACAATTACCGAGGCCCTTGCCGATTGCTAACAACCCCGAATCCATGAATCCACTTTAGACCATAGTTCATTTGGGATAATATGGAATCTAGGAATTCCCAATTGACAGAGTCAAAGGCTTTATCAAAATCTAATTTGAAAAGCAAAGTTGTTCTTTTTCACCTTCTCGGACCATGAACAAATTTCATTGACAATCAATGGTCCATCAAGAATATTTCTGCCCTCCACATACGCCGTCTGCTCCTCACCAATATGTTTTCCAATTATGTGTTTGAGTCTTGTTGCTAAGAGTTTGGAGATTATTTTGTACATACAACCAATCAGACATATCGGTCTATAATCACTCAACTTCAGAGCGTCTTTAATTTTAGGGGCAAGAGTTATGAACGAAGAACTACACCCCTTAGATAATACTCCAAGCCTCTCAAAATGCTTAATGAAAGAAAATATGTCTTCTTTGATTATGTCCCAACAAGATTTAATGAAGCCAAACGTAAAGCCATCTGGTCCAGGGGCATTGTCACTACCACAAGACTAAACAACCGCCTTGATTTCTTCCAAAGTGAACGTAGCCTCCAATCTTTCCGCATCATCAGGAGAGATAGTTTGGAATTTCTGATTAATGAGCTTTGGTCTCGATGGCCAACGTTCACTAAATTTACTTCTGAAGATTTTAAACGCCTCTCCTTTAATAATGCTCGGATTTGTATTCCACTCACCGTCAATTAACAACCCATTTATATTATTTTTTCTGCACTTATTATTAACAAATGCATGAAAAAATCTTGTGTTTTCTTCTCGGTCTATAGCCCACTTAACTCTTGATTTTTGTTTGAGATCACGGGCATTATTCTTTTCAGCTTCAATTAGCTCCTTATATATGTTACGCATTTCATCAATTTCACTATTACTAAGATTCCTTGACTCCGCATATGCATCTAGCATATCTAATCTTTCTTTTAGCTTTCTTAATTCAATCAGCTCCTTTGGGTATTCATGACATCTCCACTGTTTAATCTCTATTTTAAGAAATCTGAGGTTTGTTGTTAAGTAAGCATCAGGTGCACCAAATCCACAAAGACGTTAAAGATATGGATTTTTTTTTTGGCAAATGAAATTTTTTTTCTACCACTTTATCTCTTTTATACTTTACTAATTTACCGTTTATCATTTTGTATTGTGACTTATAACTAATATTTTAAAATATTTTTCATGTTTTAAATTATAAATTAAAATTATGTTTTATTTTATGGGATCTTAGGATACTAATCCCGATCTTAAGATCTCAATCTTGCAAACCAAAAACGATTATAAATAAGATCCTCTTGACAATCTTGTTATATATACTCCAATAACAAAAAAAAAAATAGTAACAAATTATAAGATAAATTCTATTCTTATAATGCTCTTAGTCCACTTAATGTATAGGCCCATTTTGTAGTTTGTGTTATTATTATGTATATCGGCCCATGGCCTCCATGATTGTACGATACCTATATATTTGATTAACGAGAGGATACACTATCATAGGAAAATATACAAATTGACAAAAACACTTTTCACACTTTGTATCAATTTTTGATAAAATGATAAAAACATAAGTTGTTTACATTAAACAATATACTGAAACACCTTTTGTGAAAGAAAAAAAAATCATTTATGCATCTTTATAAGACAACATTATAAACCAAAGCCATCAATTGCCAACAATATTTCTCTTTCAACCAATTCGAACATCTCAAGTACCCGATCACCAAACTTCACGACTATATTCCGAGTTATTCGCTCCTCAAATTTGCAACTTTTGAGCCACACAACCCCAACATAAACATCACATGTGCACCATCCCGGTCTACCATCCCTAACCTCGTACTTAACCTGAACCTGCATTTTCATATCCTTTATATAAATAAATTTTACACGCATATTTATTTACATTTAAACTACCTTTATACAATATATATATAAACCAACAAAACATAAGTACTAGGTAGGGTCTCGTGTTAATTGATACTTACATAAAAGTGGTCGCCAAATGGCACATCATGTAGAGACATCGCCTCTGTTACAATCCACCCTTTCCCATGATCAGTGGTAATGGATGACTTTTGCTGCGTGCATGTGACATCACCTCCAAAACTCGACACCCTTCTATTGAACTTGTAGCATAAACGTCGCTCAAAAACATTGGAATCAGTGGTTACAGGTTCCCAATTTGTTGTATTGTAATTCAAACACGACAATTTTACCATCACTTTGTGCTCCAAGTTTCCTCCTTTAAAAAACTCCATCACTGACTCCACCTATAAGTCAAAGTCGGGTAATGTATGTTTGTAAGCCTTATTTTGTTACACCGGGACTAGAAACAAGTGGCCATTTTGTGATAAAAAGTTGAAAATAAAAGGTAGTCATTTTTTTATATTACCTTCCCTTTTGGGTTATTTTTGTGATTAGCCCAACAAATTAAATATCAAATTTTGTATGACCTATTTTGTCATATGTCCTCTGTATGTTAACAAACAATGCCTAAATGTTTTTTTTGGTACTCACACTAAAAGGAAGTTCTTTCGAGTAAATCTTGGTCATTTTTTCATCTTCAACCACCAAATGGGAAGTAACATCTTCGTATAAACACTTCTCATCTTGTTCATGTTGTTCCCAACCGCTTTTCTCATGTCCATCTTGATCCGAATTCAATGATCTTGTTTTCCACAATGCCATAATAGTCCTGAATTTTACACAAAACCACATCCAAAAATTCATTCACACAACAGAAAATCAATAAAACGTAACATTGTCATCATTATGTTTACCTGTTTGCAGAATGAAACGACACAAAAGAATGGAAACAAAAATGGAGCCTGCCCTCTTCATCTTGAGACTTTGCACCATGTCTAGCATCTACACCTCGACCTTTATGCAGAACAATGACAAGTATTGGGCTCCCAACTGATGCCAATGATGGTGGAAGCATATGAATGTCTTCAACATCTTCCCAAAGGAATGAAAACCTTGTTTTGTGTCCGAATAAATTGGCATAAAACCCGATAATTCTTGAAGATACAAAGAGTCGACCCTGAAAAAATGAGATTAGAAAAATTATCGTAATAAGTAATGGGTTTGATTTGGTTTTGTTTGGTGGGTCCGGGTGTACCTGAAGGGGTAGTTTTCTTTTCAGAGAGCATGAGAAATCACTAATAAGAAATTCCTCTGGTGGCAAGCTAAAAAGCTTCTGGAATATCGAATTCCTATGAGGTGACTTCACGTTTATCTGTTAAGTAGTAAACATAATTAGTAGTGATGTGCATAAAATCAAGAGAAATTCGAGGTCAATTTAGTCATTTGTTTTGAGATAAACTTCTTTGCTATTATTTATTGCCAAAATGAATCATCAGGGGCGACAAATACTTGAAACATAGAAAAAACCTTTTTCCCTGCTTCTTTTCTCGACTTTTGTCAAATACTCCTTGATTGTTTCAACTCCATTATTATTATCCAAAAAAATCCTTAAATGCAACTTCGACTGAAAAGACTGAGCAAGTTTTCCCTCGAGTGGGACCAACATGTCCGCTAATTCTTCAGACGTATGTCTCAAGAATCTAATCTCTGCATGCCCAAGTGAAGTCGGTTGACCAAAAGGACCATCAAAGTCAAAAACTTCAACATCCAATAACGACGGGGGTTCTTCTGCAGCATCAAACTCGAGTATTTCTGCAAGAATTTTAGCAACCAATTGTCATCAATTTTCAAGAATCTTGATAAAATCAGTTAAAATTTTGACATCGAACAAACCATTCCATTGTGGATCGAGAGTTTGAAGCTTGACAGAACTTGTTCTTGTCTTCCCGTTGCATGTTAACACTACAAAAGGATCTGAGAAACCCGAACAATCCAATGGAGCTAACTTGTTTCCCTCGATGAGTGCTACTGTAAGCACCCACCCTTCACCTTGAGCTTTGACACCATGATCGTTTCCTGTCAACAGTCAATGAGAGCATAAACATGTGCATAATCAATAAATTTTTGACGAGTGACAAGGGGAAAAGTTTACCTCTACTCAGTCTAGCTTGGATAAACCGGGAAACCATGATATAAACGCGCTCCAAGTTGAAGAAAATTACTCCACACGTAACAAATTCACCAAAACTATCAGGCAATTCAAGCCCATTAAACTCTAAACCTTGAATCCGATTCGGCTCACATAGTACAATATGCACAAAAGCATAAACAACCATGAAAACAGTAGAAAACACGGTGAAATTACAAAAATACCCCACCGCCAATTCCCAATCCGATTGGTGGTCATTCCGCAAAGCCTCCAACGTTTGATCTTTGTCTAATACAGTCAACTGATTCACGGGTTTGACTCTTTGACCAAGTAGTCCTGCAAATTGGTCAAAACTCTCTTTCAATCCTTGCTTAGCACCACCTTCAATCATACCTTTCATCATTGTACTTTGATGAAAACTAATCCCCCATGAAATTATAATCCTTGAGGTTTCCTCTCCTTCGAGGTGGGGCCCTTGTGTTATTTTATACAGTAATTCAACTCTAAAGGTACTTCCGTATGGAACATCAGGTGTATTCACTTTTACAAGAACGCAAAATTCTTTCCCGTTTGCTTTATTGTAATTTTGTTCTTCTGTAACTCTGTTAGCTTTGACCAATCTTGTTGCAGCTTTTGTGTAAGTAACTGTTCGGGTCAAAGATGACATTTTATCGGATTCCCATGTCCATGGGGACTCGTGAACATCTGTTGTACCCTGTAATGTTGCTAAATCTTTCCAGAATTGTGAATCGGGAGCAAAGAGCAGATGGTTTAGATCTTTTGGAGGTATGACGTATGTTTCATCGATTAGAACACCTCCATGTAGATTTTCAGGAGTTTCCCTTCCTTCGTCTGCTGATTCCATGGTTTCCATTGATTCTTCGAAGGTTGTAGTGAAGATGGATTCTTCTGTTGACTCACCGTTGTCGGATGAAGTTGTGGGTAAATCTGATGAATCGTATTTAATGGAGGATTCATCGTGTTTACTGAAAAGCTTCTCGAATCGGCCTGCAATGGCTTTCATCATCTTTTTTGGTGATTTTGAGGTGTTGGATTCGTATGTCGGGGTTTGTCTGCCATCTTGTTCGTCACTACTGCCATTGGTGATGATCGGTTGTAAGGAGAATTGTTGAACGTTTGATATGTCATGGCCTCTCCCATGAAGTGAAAGTGCAAGAAGAATCTTCCCTGAAATTAATTTCAAAATTCAACGCTTCGATTGTAGACGAATAATGATTACTACATCGCATATAACAAATTAACAACATATAGAGATCATAAAATGATTTAAAGCTGGAAATATAAGACACCCATCTTAATTTCAAAGTTAAATTGTCGAAAGCTTGACTCTTTAAGATAGAAGCTGACTATCTCTATACATGGAGGATGATACATTCTTAAGTCCTGATATATGAAAACAGAGAGATAAGTATGGAATACGAACCACATTCTTTCTTGATTGATTTACGGGATTTGTTAGTTTCAATAGAAAACCAAGTCGGTGGCAAATGATGACTCTCTTCAGCAGCAACAGACCACAAAGGGATCCGAACCCGACCCACCAAATCCCTAGAACCATTGTGAAAGAAACCAATAGATTCATCATCGCGATGATAAACAGATACAATGAGTTCATCATCGTCTAAAGAATGAACTCTGAATGCAAACTCTTCGTTCCAAATAGGGTTTTTTGTGTTCTTTAAAACCCTTGTTCTTGATTTGAATTTTCCAACTCTGAGTTTTACAAAAGAGTCTTGAACGACCCAATCCCTACCCTCTAATACGTACACGTAGAGCCTCATTGTGTGGCAGAAAGATTGAACTTTTTTTGGAAAATGAGATGGGTTTTGTTTGTATGAAATGGGTTTTTGATTTCTTGAAATAGGAATGAAGGATATTGACTGTGTAGTTGCGGTGGATGACGATGGAGATGGAGGTGGAGATGGAGATGAAGACGGCCATTGAAAGGGGAAACGTGGAGCGATGTAAGTAGCGACACGAGGGATGTCGAGTTTGAAGAAAGAGAAAAGAAGGAAGAGTATGGCGGTTATGTCAGGGTATCATTTGACTTGATTATCCGTTTTTTATGTCATTTTTTGCTTTTTTTTTTTTTAACACAGATACTATAATTTTTCGTTGTGCAACAAAACATTAGGAAAAATAAGTAACAAAGAAAGTATTAGCCTCATAAAAAATGTCATTAATATTTTATATATATGTATTGTCAAGGGATTATAGTCTTTTTACGCATATGATTATAAATTTCATTTTTTATTTAAAGAAATCATTGAAATATTCAACTATTGTGGTGGATTTTACTATTTATTATGTATATATTATACAATTAAACTATTTTTAGTATATATTATATCATTAAATTTGTTCTCAAATATTTTATCATTAATTTTATATAATTTGTTCAGAAAATACAATTTAAAAAAAATACATACTATTATATAAAAATTGGTCTTCCATTGTTTATTGCGGCTCCCTGATATCTGCGAGGTTCGATGTTGATGACTTACTTTTGGCGATGATACTATTACTAAGCAACAACTTTTAGTATTGTGTCATGCATATTTTTCATGGCCATCCATTAATTGAATCTTTAAATGTGTTTGGTATAGAAAAATATAATTGATACAGATAATAGAAATTGAGAGAAAAAGAATTAAGCTCGAAATAGGAATTAAGTTGGAGAAAAAGAATCAATTCCATTGTTTGGTACAATACATAGAATACAATATAGAAATGTACTTGATATCTATTATCGCATTCAACTTTCAATTTTTTTTAAATAAACACAAGAAATAGCAATGTACTTTTATATTTTTTTTGTTGTAAAATTGTATTTAAAATTTTCTATTTTCTATTACAACATGATTTTTTTTTTCATTCTATTCAGCATTGAAAATTTGAAGTTCTAACTGAAAACCAAAATAAACACTTTTTATACAAAATTTTCTAACGTTGATGTTCGGTGTTGCAAAACGTGTGCGAGAGAGAAAGAGAGGAGAGAGAAAGAGAGGGGGAGAAAGAGAAGGAGACGAAAGTTCTGAGAACGAGTCATAAATATATGATTTTGTGGTTGAGTCGAAAAACGTTCGACGTTCATTACGAGCGCCCAAGTCAAAACTATCATCATCGAAAGCCTAGAATCCTTGGAAAAAACATTAAGCAAGTGTAATATATGTTCTTAAACAATGTTTTCTAACAATTGTTATTCCAAACACGTATTTCATTGTCCAACAAGAATATCAACATACAACATAATGGACATATTACAAATTATTCTAAATAATGCAACACTTAGTAATCAACAAACTCGACTAAAACTAATGAATTCATTGTGATTTTCGAAGAATAAGCAATTGCTTGTATAGAAAAAAAAATCTTGGGCTTTTCTTATACAATCCACATTCACAACAATATATTCATACAAAAGTTAAAGCCATCTCCAACATTTACGCTTGTAGTCAATGTCAAATGTAACACCCGCAGATTCGGGCTAGTCAATTTAGAAACAATAATCGTCAAAAATGACTTTTTAATAGAAGATTATTTAGAATAAATAATCTTAACCAAGTTATATAAATCTTAACCAAGTTATAGTATATGTCACAAGGGTTCCGTACATATAAAGAACGTTGAAATCCGAGTTATAACGAAGAAGTTATGACCCGTCGAAGTTTTGCGACAAAACCGGCACGACTCCGCGTAACGTAAACAGTGAATTTTTGATAAATTACTTTTTAGTCTTATCAATCTAAACAAAAGTCGTAGTATATGTTAAACCGAGAGCGTACACAAAAAGAACGTCCAAATCTGACATCGTTTGAAGAAGTTATGATTTTTTTAAGATTTAGCATAACAGTGCACAGCCCGGAAATCAAATTTTAGATCGATCGATTTTTAACCAACAAAGCCTAAATGAGAATTGAAGATCTCATTAATAGGAGCTCAACGATATAAAGACAGTCGAAAACGGACGTCGGATGAAAAAGTTATGAATTTTTAACGGATTTTAACTGTCTAAGTCTGTTAAAATATAACTTTAAAAATAAAGTCAAAATTAGCCGACGGAGTCTAAACAAAAGTTGTAGATCTTGTCGATACCTATGCGTGGATATAAAGAATGTCAAAAATAAAGCTCGTATGCAAAAGCTACGGATTTTAGAAGATAATTATTTTTTAGAGTAGCCAGTGAGCGACACGTAGCGCGATCTGAGCCACTGCTTCCTCACCACGGCTTGGCACCAGATAATGACACATGTCCACGAACGCCCAACGTTCAGCAAGGGAAAATAACCTAAAAAAAACTCACACTTTTCCCATTCTTTCCCTCTCAAACACCCCTCTTAGCCCCTCCCATTCCCTAGCACTTCCCGAGTGCTATAGGTGAGTCCCGGAGCGCCAGAAGGCTCCAAGAAGAAGATTTTTCGGCTAAGAAGTTCTTCCCCCGCAGAGTCCAGTTTCTAGCCAAACCTCGTAGTAAGTGAGTTATGCTTACCTTACTTTAAGTATAGCTTATGTTTAAGTTCAATATCGTTATTATGAACTTATAAACAATATATATATATATATATATATATATATATATATATATATATATATATATATATTATAAAATATAATATAGAAAGTGTTATTATAATATCTTTTAACTACTCGTGGTACGGGGAATCTGGTTTGAAGGGCCGCATAGGGTTGTTGGATTTCAGAAGTGTTATAATGCCAAAATTGTCACACCCCCGAACCAGACGACGGAAACGTCCGAGGGCTTGTGTGACTTAAATTGAAATATCATCACAATGAATATACATGAAACATAACATAAACATCACCATGCATTAATACATTACAACTGACCTTGTTCACATCAAGTACATTGTTTACATTACATATTTCAAAACATAATTTGTTTGATGATTAACATTTCACAAAAGAAATTCCTGAAACACACTTGGAGGTTCTTCAGTCTAACGATTTTCTGAGAATACAAGTTATTTTGAAAACGGTCAACATATATAATGTTGGTGAGTTCATAAGCATGCTTGATATAAAACTAGTTTGTATTGTTTGTAAAACCCAGAAAATTCGATATTTTCTGTAACAAAAACTGTTTACGAAAAAGATGTGATGATCCCATAAATGCAGATGTATGTGATTTCAAAACATGCAAAAGTGAATGTTCTTCATAATTGTTCTTTGTATTGTAGTTGTTGTATGTAGAAGTGAATAATGTCGTTTCCCCGGAAAACCCGATGTTTTCCAATTTACATAGTATGATAGTTTTGTATTATTGTATAAATCACTTTGCATCGTCACAGTGTATGAATATGATTTCCCATGAATACTTAGATGGTAATGGATCTCTATGTGAGTCGTTATAACCATGCATAATAATGACTAATTCCCCTGTCTTGGCATTTTTCCAAACGCCGGTTTTGATCAAGATTTTGTCACCCTAGACTGGCCGAGTCTAACTGTAGCGAACAGCTCTGGTGTGGGGGAGTCATCCCCGTATAGATCTATACACAAACTCTCGCTCTCCCTCCAGGAGACTCTGATTATAACTACAGGCTACGGCCGACATTTATTGGTGCCACCCGTTATTTCTCACTAAATCCCAATGAAATTGAATAACCTTGTTTTACAACCCGAATGATGTTTACGTGAATATGAAGTAAGCCTAACAGACATGAAAGAGGACAACGGTTGTAACATCCGAATTTCCAGGTATGATAAAATGAGATTATTTTCTAAGTTATGAGGATTGACTCGACGAGTTGACGTCCTAACTCGTCGAGTAGGATCGCGACTTGGTGACGTGGAAAATGAATGGACTCGACGAGTCGACAAGCTGACTCGCCGAGTCAGCGCTGTTGGCAGAAACCCTAATTCTTTCGGGCTCGGGCCTATTTAAAGGCTGTAACGCCCCATTTCTGGTATGTAATTTTAATTAAAGTATCTCCATTTCTTAAGGGGTACTCAACGAGTCTGTAGCCCGACTCGTCGAGTAGAAGCGGGATGAGCTCGCGATTTAAGTTGGCTACTCGACGAGTCCATATGTTGGGACTCGGCGAGTCTGCCTGTCTGGATGAAGCCCTAATTTCAAGGGTTTGTACCCTATTTAAACGTCATTATAGCCTCCCACCCCAGCCTCCAGCACCTTTAGAGCATTTCCCCTGTAAACCCTAGCCCCCATTGTTGAACTTGAGTGTGTTTGTGCTAGTTTGGAAACTTTGGAAGGGAAGGAAGGAAAGAAGGTCCATAGAAGAGAATGGAGATCCAAGAGTTAGCTTCCATCTGTTTCCCATTCAGGTAATAAAGTTATTACCTTGTGTATTCCTCCATTAAACCCTCTTTTATGCTTGTTATGTCTTCTTTGGAGCCTTATATGATTCAAAACTTGAGATATGGACTCTCATTTGGATGGAAACCTTAGATCTGGACGTTATTGAACTCCAGGAGCTCATTATAGCCACCTTTATGCAATCTTGGCCTTGTTCCAAACCCTAAGAGCCTAGTATTTGATGATTTTGGGTATTTTAGCCTCATACCCTTGTGCATGCACGTAAGTTGGAAACTTTACGTGTAAAACCAGTCCTAGAAGCTCAGATCTATGATTCGGAAGCACTGAAATAGATTAGAATCGACTGTATAATAATAGCATGCTTGGGACTCGACGAGTTGTTCTTCAACTCGGCGAGTCGGATGAAGTTAGAATTGATGTTAGTATCGAAGAAGAACTCGTCGAGTCTTTGCCAAACTCGACGAGTAGAAGCGAGTAGAGGACTAGAATGGATGAAAGGGACTCGGCGAGTTGGCGGCCTAACTCGGCGAGTCCGGTCAACTGGAAGTTGACTTTGACCAGGGGTAAAATAGTCATTTTACCCTGAGATTAGTTATCAGTATTTGATTTAGTGTTTATGGGATTTGTAGCCGGG